ATTGGTAGATGGAGTGGCTTTAATAGAGTTGATAAGATTAGTTTTTGTTTTGTCCAAAGTGAATGCTATAACATTGCAAATAATGGATGTATTGTTCATAATGAAAAATCAATTGCTGGACCATTCTGTTTCCAATTACCAAAAAACGAGCCATTGAGACTTCAAAGCAGACCAACAATATTTAAATTACCAATATGTGAATCTTTTGTAAATGATTATGATTTAGTTAATATTAAAATAAGACATCAATTAGATGTTAAGATCCAATTAAATAACTTTAAAAAAGATCAAATTGAATTCAGGTTAGTCAATGATTAATATTTAATAATATTTATATTGATTTTTGTTTTCTCAAATTTTTCCCTTGATTATTCTTAGCATTCCAATCTCAGTCAAGTCAATAATACCTAATCAAGATACTTTGCCATTACCTCACAAAATCGATCTTTCAAATAGTGTTGCCTGTTTACAATTGGGAAATGAAATCTATACAAGTAAACCATCAAAAGAAGCCAATATAATAAACAAACAACCCATTTTTAAATCACCATCAATAATATTTAATAATGTCAATAACAGAGAGATTAATACCAGTCATAATATGAATATTAGTACTAATACTGATAGTAATGTTACACGACCATCAAAGCCTTTACCAAGTATTCGTAAACAATTGTTTCAATTTTTATCAAGAAAAACTAGTATTCAAAGTAAAAAATCATCATCAAAAAAATCATTGCCAATCAATATTGAATCAAGAATATTTAATAATGATGATGATGATAATGACATTATTAACAATATTAATAATAACAGTAATAGTAATAGTAATGGCAGTAGCAGTAGCAATATTAATAATAATAAAACAATAAACAATCTACGTAATTCACGCATTAGTACAATTACTGAAGTCTCAAGTGAATTTTCGATTGAAAATGATGATATAATAGAAGAAGAAGAAAATGATGATGAATATATTGAAAATATAAATCATGATATTGAATATGACAATGATGATGCGGACGATATTAAGGCCAACAACACCATAATAACTGCAGCAACAGCAACCACTTATACTAATAATGACTTTAATGTCAAAGAGTTCCATAAACCAGATTTCATCACCTTATCAGCAAATATTATAGCTGAAAATTTTATTAAATTCAACTATTTATTACATAAAAGACATCATCAAAATAACAAAGACAATATTAATAAAACCAATAATTATCAACAGCAATATAAGAATCATCATAAACCTCCACCTAAATCACATCAAAATAAATCACTCAAAAGAAATAGTAGAATCAGTAGAGCTTCATCTACTTCCACTTGTGTACAACCTGACGTCAAAGATTACATTAAACATTCAACTCATTATAAATCCGACAACAACAACAACATCACCATTAATGACAATATCATCTCATGATTGTAAATATCTCATATTTAAAAGAATGTTACTAGAATGAAAAAAAATATTCATTCATTCATTATTTTTTATTTTTTTCATTTTTTGTAAATTAATTCAGAATCAAAAAATTGTTTCACTCATTTACTTAATAATAATTCATTCGTTTAGTTATTTATTGGAGATAGATATAAGGATGCAAGCAAAGGGGTATATATATGTATGTATGTGTGCACGTAGAAGAAAATTATTTCTTTAAATAAATTTTTTTTTCTATAATATAATTATATAAATGTTAAATATTATAGATTTAGAAAAATTTAGAAAAAAAAAAATAATTTTTTTATCGTCATCATTCTTTTGTATATTATATTTTCTTAAAAAAAAACAAAAAAAAAAAAATTTTTTTTAAAAAATTCACCACTCTCTTTATTTATTTTCTTTTAATTTAGCGGGCCTAATCATAAAAAAAAGTAAAATATTCAAACTTAATTAATTTACAGTAATTTACATTTTTTCTTCATCATGTGCTAAATTTTTTTTTGATAAAAAAAAACAAAATAAAAATTTAAAATCATTTATAATAATTTTCTAACTGTTGGATTAACCGCTTGCTTTCCACACGTTACTTCAACAACCATATAATTTTAAAAATTGACGCGTGAAATTTCACATTTTCGAATTCGTGTAATCAATCCGATTTAAAGTAGCTCGCGCATTATTAAGTAAAGCTACGGCTATTCAAAAATGCAATTACTTTATTAATATGGGAAATTGAATCGAATCGAATTTGAGAGTGATTCGATTCGATTCGATCTGTAGTCAATTCGATTCGATTCGAATTCAAAAAAACAGGATTCGAATTGATTCGAATCAAACCGGATTCCTAAAATTTTTTAACGTCATATTAAATTTATATTTTTAATTTGATAATTTAAATTTATATTACACAGCGAATCACAATCAGTGTGCCTCCATTTGATGAATACTAATGGATTGAGGTCTAAGAATGGTTTAATGATAATAAAATTCTTCTTGATATGATATTTATTCGAATTCTATAATTCTAAAAAAAGTTGACAAATTGTCATTATACTAGTATAACGAGATAAATAATAGGTATCATTTAATTTCGTCATTCGTCACCCGTAATTGATTTCGTAATTAATTTCGTAATTACGTATTACGTTTTTGGCAAAATAATTACCATCCCATGTATAATGCGATCCATGCCATCTGTTATAGATGGCCTAAAACTTGGTCAATGAAAAGTTTTATTTGGATGTATCAAAAAAGGTTTGACAAAAGAAGAGCTCAAAGTGCCACTGCTATCAAGTTATATTTCAGAGCAAACGGCATATCATCATGGTGAAGACAATCTACATGATACTATAATTGGTCTTGCACAGAACTTTGTGGGATCAAATAACATTAATTTATTGGAACTTATAGGACAGTTTGGAGCAAGGAAAGATGGTGATAAAAGAAATGCTGCACCAGGCTCTCATCCCTTGTTAGGCTGATATATCACCCAGATGATGACAATCTTTTAGAATACTTGAATGAAGATGGAACAAAAATTGAACCAAAATTAAAGACTAGTGCCGTAATCCAAAAAAGGAAAAAGTATGGTTGCAAAAGTGGTCGCAAAGGTAATTGCAACCACTTTTTATATTCCGTAAATACAATTACTACCATCATCATAATTTACGGCACTAGTCTTTAGCAGCCAAAATGGTATGTTTCTGTTATCCCGATGGTTCTTGTTAATGGTGTGGAAGGTATAGGAGCACCAGCATTCCTAATTTTAACCCCACAGATATTATTCAAAACTTGTGAAAAAAAATCGAAGATAGAGATATAGTTCCAATGTATCCTTGGTACTGTGGATTTTATGGGGAGATAAAGCAAGCTGGTGCTAATAGTACACATCACATGGAATTATCAAGAAAACAACTGATACCAATGTCATCATTACCGAATTACCACCCCGTAAATGGATTGAAGATTACAAGTTAAAAGTACTTGAGGAACTCAGAAAAGATGGAACTATTATAAACGTTTTAAACAAATGTACCAGCGAAAAAGTGCATTTTGAAATCGAATTAAATCCTGAAAAAATAAATACCCAGGAAAAAGAACTTGAAAAGGGTTTCCAACTAAAGACTAGTGCCGTAATCCAAAAAAGGAAAAAGTATGGTTGCAAAAGTGGTCGCAAAGGTAATTGCAACCACTTTTTATATGCCGTAAATACAATTACCATCATCATCATAATTTACGGCACTAGTCTTTATTTCTAACTAACATGTCCATTGACAACATCAAACATGATGTGTTTTGATTCGGACATAAATTAACAAAATATAATTCACCAAAGGATATAATAGATGCATTTTATGAAATAAGATTAAATTTGTATGAAAAAAAGAAGGGTAGGTTATGATTTTGTTGGATTTTTTTTTTACTAACAATGTATATATTAATATATGTGTGTGTGTTGATTAATCTATTTTCATACATGTGTACTAATTCACTGATTCATCTATTTATTTATGTATGATGACAGTCATATTTAATTAGAGAAAAAGAACAAAAAATGAAGATGATGAATAATAAAATCAGATTTATTTCCATGAAACTTGAAGGTGAAATTAAAATTTGATAGTTTAAAAAAAATTGGAAATTATAAAACTTCTTGAATCATACAATTTTGATAAATTCCATAATAATGATGATAATAATAATGATTTTGAAGGATACAACTATTTATTAAAAATATGGTTGTCTGATGATGATGGGGTAATCAGTTAATTGGTGATTTAATATTTTCCTTTTTTTTTTTCAATTAATAACACATATACATAATTAATGTTATACTCAGACCATCAATGAATATGAAAAAGAAAATAAAAGGCTCCAAGATGAATTAACAAAAATCACAAATATGACAGCCAAAGATCTTTGGTTAAAAGACTTGGATGTATTGGAGGCTGGATGGAACGAATTTAATGATCATCGACAACACAATAATAATAATACAGAAAAACATAGAATTGGTGATGATGATGATGATGATGATGATGAATTATCATCAAATCAAGCATCAACAAGTAAAGGTAAGTTAAGCTTTGATTATTGTGGATGGAAAATTATGTTAGTTATGAAATTTTTTTTTTTTAGTTGGAGGAAGAGCATTGAAGAGAAGAAAATGTTCTAATTAATAAATTATATATTTATTTATTTCATTATTAATTATGATGACTATATATATATTTTATTATTTATTATTTATTAATGAAAACTCGTAACTTCCAACTGATTTTAGTTTGGAAACATATATACTTGTAATGTATTTCAAGTGTTCCATAAATCTTGAACCCTGAAATGTTCACTTTGTCTGGTTTTGTTGCAGTATGCCCCATATATGAAATGTTACAAAAATAGTAAATTCAAATAAAAAATCTGGTTGCAACAAATCATTCCCTGACTTCTAAATAATCATTTGGTGCAATTATTTTTTTAAAAATGATCACCCCTGAAGAGCAAATATCATTTTTGGTAAGTCAATAATAGTTGATGGTTTTTGCTGTCATCCACTGTATAATAATTAATGAAAGTTTTAATGAAAGAATATGATGAATTTAATTTAGTGCAACCTATTTAACATTAAAAAGGATTACTTGCAAGAGTAGATAGCCCATCAATAATTGGTACCTTGCAATAAATATATTGTGCACTGCACATGTGGTCAACCTAGGAGTGCCAGTGCACATTAAGACTTTGGTTTGCACACTCCTTTAAGGCTCCGAATGAATCAACAAAATTTGGTCTCTAATTTTGATTTGTTTCATCCGAATCAATATATACTATTTAATACACATAAATAATGAATCAACCCAATGAATTTGATTTGAATCTATCCCAATGAATCATAATTTGATTTGCTTATGGAAGATAGGTGCAAGGTAATCAACTGATTATTGTAATATCTAAATGGCAAAGAAAAGGAGCAATCCAAACCAGTTATACTGTTACTGGATAAAGTAAATAAATAGATATAAAGTTCTTTTTTATTTTTCTATGACCAATTTTATTTCAATCATTAGCCGATTGCAAGCCCGCTTTGGTTTATTTAAAACAGCTTGTTTAACAGCCTTACCTTTACAATAGCACTATTAATATTGCCAATCAACACTCTTGAACAATGCCATTGTTAACATTTACCAGCTAACCAACATCAATCAGTACCAAGCCCTTACTTATTCACCAAAGCAAATACCTTGTCAACACTCATTCACTAGTTAACCAATGCCAGTACCAAGCCTTTGCTCACTAACTAAAACAAATAAACCACAGCCTTTTACCAAAGTGTTTTACCGAAAATAAAAATGCAGGATTATATTTTATTTTATTTTTAATCTGAATGTATATTCATTTTGTATTTTATTACCATCTTTTGCTTTCATATTCTAAATATTGAGACTCTGAATCAGTTTGATACACTCATTTTTATCAAGGTTTTCTGACTTTTTTATAGCATTATAAATAAATATTGTATTCCTTATTGAATCATCACCATCTTTACCATTTATCCATACACGACCATTCATTCCTATCGCAATCTCAAACGGAGATGGAACTTTTTTCTCAAGCAATGATAGAATTGGAGATTGTTTAAACAATAATCTACAACCAACCAACCAACCAACCAACCATATATATTTGTGTGTTACAAATTAAAAATTAATTAATTAACATCTCATTCATAATCATAACCACAACAGTTACAATTTAAATGGAAAAGAAACAATAGACTTGTTTTTTTTTTAAAACGAATTACCTTCTACAATGTCTTAAAGAACATTTTAATAAATAGCCATTTTTCAATTCACCAAATCCATCAGCTTTACCATTTTCTGGATTAACACATCCAAGTTCTGGTTCCATATCTTTATTTGCTAATAAAACTCTTGCATATATTAAACTTCCTATCTACAAAAGAAATTTTTTTTTGCAAATATGAATATTGAAATTGTTTCTTAAAATAAAATAAAAAAGAATAACAAAACAGAAATTACATTTAGATTTGGTCTATTCTTTTTTGTTACATTCTCAAACGCCAAGTTGGATAGGATTGCTTGATGAGCAGATCCAATATCCAAACGATAAAATTCTGAAGTTTTATGTGTCACTATTCCAAGTACAGATTCTCCTGCAGCCGGAACATACTTTTTAAAAGGATAGATAAAATAAGTATAACATTAAGTAAATTATATATTTCCTCCCAGAAATAAATCAATAAGAATAAAATCACTACTATTGCTTACTCTTTTTTGGTTATTATCCACCCACAACTTATTCCCTGACTTAGTAGAGCATTCTAAAATACCAGCTTTTAAACTAATTATTGATTCTTCATTTTGCGTTAAGCCTGGTCCAAGTTGTATTTTATCGCCTGAAAATTTGACAGGATCACCCGGAAGAACAACATTATTATTGTCGTCATCATTATCAATATCCATATCTTCTTCCATTGTATTAATTTTTTAATTTTAGAGTGCACGTAACACAAGTTTTTTAATCGCGACGATGAAAAATCAAATAAATAAAACTTTGGAATATGAATTGCGCACATAAGTTTATTTACAAATTTATTTATTATTTTTGAATCCATGATTTTAGACACAAAATCGTCCTAGCTGTCTATGACTCCAACCTGTTCCTTCGAGAAGAAATTGTTTGACCTGCAATGGAAAAAGCCTGTTCAGAAACAATGTTTCAGATAGTTATTACAGCAATCATATTGGCGATCAATATATTATAAATTAATTGAAATATATCAGCATTATTCAACAACAATAGACTCGGAATATTATTCAACAATTATATTATTTACTCGTCTTTTGTCTTTATTAGATTGATTAATTATAATATTACAAGTTTTATATAGATAATTTTTACAATTTTATTTTAAATAAAATTGTGTATATATATATATATATTAATATGATAAAGAATTCTTTTGAATAATAATTTTTTTAGAGACATGCAGAAATGAAAATGCAATTGTCTAAATTTATTCGTTCTATATTATCATTGAAAAAGATTTACCCTTCTTTTTCCTCACGCTTTTATCATATATTTTTGGTTGAAGCACCTTAAAATTCAATTTACATTTGGACCAAAGGATTTTCTCAAGAAGTTGCTTATTTTTATTCACTGCAGATTATCCTTTGATTCATTTGTCGTAATTAAATCAAGGGTTGTAGGTTCTACAACCTTAAAATCATTTAGAATGTGTCGCATTCTTTTGAATTTTTATTTATTGCGTTGTGCCTCTTCAAAATATTCTTCGTGTGTTGCCAATTCTAATTTCCTTTTGCGCGAATCTTTCAAATACTTTCTGTACTCCAAACCTTTTGATGGCTTCTTCGCAGTTCACATTCAATGATATATTCCTTTTAAAGACCAAAATGCTTGTAGTCCATTAACGACTCTACTAATTGGTTCATGTTCTTTAAAAGCACTTCGTTTTGGATTATGAACTATAGAATACTTTTCTTGTATGCAGTGTATGCATTTAGCAAGTTCTATTCTATAGTCTTCGTATTCATAAAGAGTAACTTCATGCGCTTCAGGAAGTTCATAAAGACTTAAATATTTAAAAGCTGCTTCAAGTACCCTCTTACATAATCTACATGATATTCTTTTGATTACTACATGATCATCAAAACGTGCTACCAAGACCCAGTTGTTATGCCAAGCTAAAACTACACCATCTTCCACTAGTTGATGGTATGATTAATCTTGGGCTCAACTGTGTCACGAATATAGATTAACATTAGATGGCGATGGTATATTCTATGAACTCCAGGTAGACCACCTGTTAAATCAACTGCATGTCTATTAGCATATGGTTATAAAAATCCACCAGTTATAGTTGGTTTGATATTGATCGTGAAATTACAGTATTTGGACCCAAAGGAAAACCGATCACAGTTTCTGAACCTTACAGAACTTACAAAATACCAGTTGGAGGACTTTCATTTAAAGATGAAATTCCAGAATCGCCTCAAGCAGATACTAGCAAGGAAGGTGACCACCATCATTTACAATAATTGATTTTTTTTCCTGGTATTCTTCCGAGTATATAACCTTGTAATGGCAGAGTGAAAGTGGTCATGCTTGAATCATCAACCACAATGGTTGGTCTTAGCTCATGAACTAAATCTTTGCCGTTCATTAGATTCTCTTGGTGGTGATAACTTGAGTGGTTTGGTATATGTGCATACATTATAGAGATCATTGACGGTGTAAATTTCCTGATTAGATTCTTGAGTCTCCTTATTTTCCTTGTGGTAGCTACTGGGTGGGTGTTGTTACTTAATTTTTACTTGTATTATTACTTTTAATTGGTGCTACTTCTTTTCTTTTTCTGGATTGAGTTGCCACGATTTGTTTAGGTATGTCAAACTTATTTGTTAATAAAGCTTGTGAAATAGATTTCAAATATTCTGAAGATGATTTTACTACCTTGCTTCTTGTTGATGCTTTTTGAGTTGATGTTGGTGCAACATTTTTTGAGGGATATATTCAATATCTGAACCAGCATTAAAATTGTCATTTTTTTTTTGTGGTGGTTCCTAAATGAGGTAATATGCATATACATGTTGTATGTGTGAGTGAGTATATGGCTAAATGAGTTTTATATGCTTCCAAATATAAGTTATTCAAATACTATTATTATAGCTTACTTTTTCTTTCTTTGTGAATTTTGTTTTCACATATTCTATCTAATAAAGTATAAGATTATTAATATAAATAGAATGCCAAAATTTATACCATGATTGCATAATTTTTCCCTGGTTAATAGGTGATATTGATGGTTTGGTTTATTAAAGTTTACTTTTGAAATCTTGTTTGATAATTTGTTTGCTGCATTGTAATCAAAAATTCAGATGATTTTTTTAATATTAAGCATGATTTCTTGTATTATCCCCCGTGTAACCTCATTCATAAGTTTGTACTTATACCCACTAGAAAAATTCAAGCTCAGTTGAATTTTATGATAGACTATTTTTTTATTTATAAAATGCAAAACATTACAGTAATACAAACAAATATTAAAATACAATTGTTTGAAGTAATGAGTATTTAATAGTAATAGTGAATATTAATAGTAATATTATGACATTTAAAAAATTTAAATTTGTGTCCTTTAATTTCATTATAATTGTGATCTTTTAAATGGTAATGTAATATTGGAAATATCATTGAATGCATTGACGTGAATCAATACTTTTATTTGAATCAAAAGCATCACTAGAAATACTAGAATCATCAACACTAGTATCACTGGAAATTGCATCTTGATCATTACTCATCAAGTCACATGTATTATCTGTTTCAGTAGTAACTGGATGGGTTTCGCTTGTAACATTTATTGATTTTGAATCATAAATATTAAAATTACCATTGTTATTAGAATGTGTAATAGTTTTTAGTAATATTAATGATAATGGTGGAGCAGTGTAATAATTCCGCAAAGCAAGATGAAATATACAAATTTTAGAAAAGAATAAATTAATTTGTTATTAACCACCCAACAAATCTTCTTGATAGTGGAAAAAGTTACATGTAAAAATTGCATAAATGGTGGGGGATAATACAAGTTTAAGCTCAATTTTACGAAGTAAAATTGAACTTATACCCGTACTACCCAGGGTTTAACTATTAAAAATCCCCTAGTTTGAGATAAACAATCTGCGAATTAAGGAATTAACAATCAATAAGAATATTTCGTGTAACTGACTGAACCGAAATTAAATTTTCTAAAGTCCAAATAATTTCTCATTTCTAATTGATTAAATTAATTAAAATGAACTGTAATAGGAGAAATTAATAATACAATAATGGGAGGAAAGAGACTCCGGCTGCACATAATTTGAAGGAAAGAAAGTAAAGGGAGTCAATCAAGTTGGATATGGAACTTGATGGAAAAAAATGAAATTGTAAATGATGACAGAGAAAAATCTAAAGGAGCTATTTGTCTCCAAAACTTCTGATATTATTGATCATTGTAATGAAATACAATGACCTCAAATCTTGATCTACTTTTACTTGAAAAGATTGTTTTTTGAAAAAGATATTGATAATTTATGATTAACTATGAATATTTACCGAGTAATCATTCACCGAATAATTAATTATTCACCTAATGATTATCCGTATATTAAATTAATAATAAAAAGAATATGACACAATCTCTATAACTCAACATATAGGAAAATCACCATTTTGATCAATAACAGTGATGAAGCCACCAAAAAAGCATATCGAGTACAAATAGAGATGTGCTGCGCATAGTGTGTTATGCATAAGATTTTACCTATTTTTTATAGACATTTACTTATTAATAAACATTTCTAAAAAAAAATTAAATATGCCATTCACTTTCTTATTATTATATGCGCATTTATGATATTTCCCTCCCTATGATATATATACACTATGCGCACTATGTTATCATGCGCACTATACGCAGTATGCGTGAAAAAATCACGGTTACTATGAATGGCACATCCCTAGGTTAGAGTAATAAAGTACAAACATGTATGATCTTACGTTGGCAGCTAGCTTAATGTAATAATTGATGATACTTTGTCATAATTTACTATTACCTCTCCATAAATAAATACAAGTTTGATGATAAATTTAACACATTAGGTTAGAACAACGAGAGTAAAAAAACAAATATGTAAAAACCTAACTTAACATAATTGATGATAATTGTTTGTTGATTTACTATTACCTCCCATAATATAAGGATTTTTCTCACGAACTAACTTCCTCAATTATAATTTGTCCACATTTGTTTATGTCACCTTCATCGTACGATGACAATTATTACTGTTTTTATACAACGATTGAAGAAAAATCCACATTAGAGTAAAACCATATAAAAAAATACCACTATTTTAGCCCATCCGGTATTTTAATTCTTTAAAAAGAGTTTTCTTTCTTCTTTTCAATATCACTTTACATGTTTCTGAGCGATGTGTTTTAATATATAGTGTAAATGCTTTATATAAAAAAACCAATTTTGGACAAGAATCCAGCGAATCATTTTTTTGTGGTATCACCCATAACCCATACTGATATAAATAAATTTGATATTTACCTTTTGGTCAGTCAGTCTAATTTCGTCACATCTCGTCAAGTATGACAAGTCAAAGGCAGTGCAACTTTTTTTTCTCACGTTTATATTAATAAACATGTCATTATAAGTGTTTAAATGTAATAAATTTATGATTCTTTATTTATTACACGTAATTCTCTTCATTGTAATATTTCGGAAACCATCTAAACGCAATTTACCGATTATTCGTGTGGCCAATTAGCCGCCGATTTTTTACAAAATTTAGATTTTAAAAAATTTATAAAAAAATCATTTTTTCCAAGCCCTTCAATGAGATTTTTTTTTTACAGCGAATAAAGCTGCTCTTCTTCCCGAAAGTCCTAACCTATAAGCATCCATAAATCTGTAATATCTCCTATAATTTTACAAAGTGATACTATACCCGTAATTCTTTAAATGAATAATTACAGTCTTTTCTAGCATAATTTTTAACTGTAACCCCAAAACTTTTGGTATATTTCAATTCACATTGGTATTTGGAATAAAATATTACTTTATGTCTTGCATTTTCTACTACTCCTTCTAATTGTGATTTTTGTACAAGAAATCAGGTTCCAACAATAAAGATTGACCTGCACAACAATCATTAACCCATGTATAATTTACATTTTTTTTATACAATTTTCATACCAATTATTTATTTTAAGAAAATTTTTTAAAATTGATAATCACTTACTTAATGATACACTCTCTGAATAAACTGAATAGATAAATAAATACTAATTCATTCTCTCTAGATTATTTGATAAATTTTCTTTTGTATACATACAGTATATCGGGTTCCTTATAAAGCAAAATCGGGCATAAAAATTTTCTGCAGCACGTGATAAAATAGGTTGATCACTTGACTCAAACAGGTGACTCTTTGACGCATCGAGTCAATTAAAATTGGGAATTGAGTCAAAGCCAAATTAATTGTCAACATGTATACTTTAGATGATCCACAGCAATAAAGCGAGGTTGATTTTGATAAGTGGCACAGCACATGATGTCTTTAGAATGATTCACATCATAATTAAGGTTTCTGGCCCAAATTGTTTTCTCAAAGCCCAAACTAGTTTGGGCAATTTGGACTTCTCAGCATTTTTAATAAACATAAATATTAAAAAGCTATACCAATCAACTTATTTTAACTTAAACAACTTTAAAGTAATTTCGCCCAATTTCAGCTAATAACAAAAAATAGTTT